AAGAAGGAAAAGGAGGAGAGACCCAAAGACAAGAAGAAGTCCAAGAAGAAGCCTCCTGCAGACGATGAGGTGGCAGAGCCCCTGGAGAACGGCGCACTCCATGAGCCTCTTCCGGTGAGGGCACTTTACTTCCTCTTAGGAGCCAGCTGTGGCAGGCTGTCAGGCCTTAGGCGGTGGGCTGGTGGTCCCTAGGGTCTGGCTGTGGACATGGATGGAGGGGGTGGTTCATCTCTCACCATGCTGGTATCGGAATCCCCTGGGCGTAAACTTGTGTTGGAGGGGGACTTCTTGCCCCCAGTTCTCATAGGCCTAGTATTTCAACCCAAAGCACTTGGCAGCTTCCACCGACTTTGTTTTGTGAGGGCGCTCTAAGGCCCTGGTGAACCAAAGCTGAATCCTTTTCCTTTGTTCCCAGCCCATGTCCAGCTACTCTCTCCTGGCTGAGAATACCTACGTTAAAATGGTGAGTGATGCAGGCATTTCAGAGGCGCTGGTGGGTAGCTTGGGGTCCCTTTGTATGGGTGGGGGAGGTGGCTGCACCATGAGAGGCATGAGTGATTCCAACTGTGTGTCCCCATTGGCAGCCTCTCCATGGAAAGAACCCCACGTCACATGTATGATAGCAAGGCCTGCTCAGCGTGTGTGAGGTCAGGGGCCGATGGGATGGCAAGCTGTTCTTGAAGAAAGGACAGGAATAGCTAAGTACTGCATTCAGAACGGAGATGAGGCTTTCAGTGAGGACTAGGAAGCATTCCTCCCCAATCTTCTGAGCCTGTGGAATGGGTGTTGCGTTCCCTTGGGCCCCTATGCTGGTCCAGAATGGGTCCCATGGGCTCCCACCACAACCACTCAGCCCAGCCTTGCTTTGCAGACATACGACATTCAGGGCAGCCTCCAGAAGGACAGCCAGGTCACCGTGTTCATTGTACTGGAAAACCTGAGCAGCAGCTTCCTGAAGAGCATGGAGCTCAACGTGCTGGACTCACTCAACACCAAACTGGCCCGGCCAGAGGGCTCCTCTGTCCATGACGGCGTCCCTGTGCCTTTCCAGCTGCCTCCAGGTGAGCAGTGGCTGACGTCCAGGGCTCAGTGGAGGCCAGGCATTCTCTCAGGCTTGAGCTCATTCTTATCACACCTCCTTCCTTCGGTCCTAGGGATGCCCACTCACCTGCTTCGGGGGGGCTGGCTTCGTGCAGCTTCTCAGGCCAGCTTGCCTCTCTCTCCCTTCCTCCCTCACCAGGCATCTCCAACGAAGCTCAGTTTGTGTTCACCATTCAGAGTATCATCATGGCCCAGAAACTCAAGGGAACCCTGTCATTTATTGCTAAGGTATGCAGGGCCTGAGGTAGTGGAATGGCCTACATTAACCCCACACCACTCCAAGCATACCCAGAACCCAGGACTGGGTATCCAGAGAGCAAGTGAGGCCCTCTTGGGAGCCACTCCCAGATTACCTGGATGCGTCTGAGCTCCAAGACCCTGCCCCTTTCCCTAGTAATCCTGCTTCCAAGCTCAAGGCCTGTCCCCCCTCCCCACTCGCCCTGCTCCGGAGCTCTCAGGCATAGTCCCCGCACCCCACTCATCCAGCTCCTCCTCTCTACTCATCCTGCACCCTGCTCCCACAGAACGACGAGGGCTCTACCCACGAGAAGCTGGACTTCAAGTTGCACTTCAGCTGCACCTCATACTTGATCACGACTCCGTGCTACAGGTGCGTGAGCTCGCCTGCCTTCCCTTCCCACCTTCACCCGCGTCCCATGGGGCAGTCAGAGTGGGTCCCACCTTACTGTGGGGTGGGACCCACTCTGACTCACAAAATCCTCTGACCTAAGTGTTAAAAGGCAGTAGGGTTGGGTGACAAGCTTGTAGGTAGTGCAGAAAGTCCGGTTCCTCTGCCATGTCAGCAGCTCAAGCCACATAACAAACACCATATACTAAGCAGCTCAAACAGCAAACATTGGTTCTTTCTCACAGCGTTATAAGTTGGAATCCTAGATCAAAGTGTTGGCGGGTTGATTTCTTCTGAGACCTCTGTCTTTGGCATGTAGACGCCATCTTCTTTGTGTCCCCACATGGTGGTTTCTCTTTCCTTATCTGCTTTTATAAGGACCCAGTTATGTTGGATGATGGCCCCTTAGTGACCCCCATCTCCCAACATAGTCACATTCTGAGTTCCTGGAGTTCGGGGCTTCAACATGGGCGGGGAAGGCACAGTTTAGCCCATGTCATTGGCACACAGGAGGGGTCCCACCTCCTCCATGCTGGGACCCTGCCTGTTATCAGCCTCCCTGTCCTTGTCTTTTCCACAGCGACGCCTTTGCCAAGTTGCTGGAGTCTGGGGACCTGAGCATGAGCTCAATCAAGGTTGATGGCATTAATATGTCCTTCCAGAACCTTTTGACAAAGATCTGCTTTCATCACCATTTTTCTGGTAAGGGATTTGATGGGACCGGTAGGGGTTTGCTAACACGTGGTTCCCACTCTGCTCTCCTCAGGGCCACATTGGCCTCACCTACTTGCTCTGTTGCAGTTGTGGAGCGAGTGGACTCCTGCGCCTCCCTGTACAGCCGATCCATCCAGGGTCACCACGTCTGCCTCCTCGTGAAAAAGGTGAGCCTCCTGAAGGCAGCCTCCTCACTCCACGTCTCCTCCCCCAGCCCTGCAGGCTGTCCCATGTAGCCCACGACTGAACTCAGTCTGTGGCTGCTCTGCTGAGGCCCGTGGAGCATGCTCATGAGGACAGTGGGCCTTGCATTTTCTGCTGGGTTTGGGCCTCAGGGCACCCATGGCCTCATCACATGAGGTGGGGAGCTCTTCTCCCCTTCTGCACTTTCTGGAAGAGGTTGTATGTAATTCCTGTATTTCTTCCTTACACGTTTTGCAGAATCCACCAGGGAAACCATCCAGGCTTGGAGGTTTCTTTTTTGGGAGGTTTTTATCTACACATTCCTTTTACTTAATAGTCATAGGATCCTTACTGTCTCTGTTTCCCCTCAGGTGAGTGTTGGTACTTTGTGGTTTTCAAAGAATTATTGATAGTTTGTTTCCCCTAAGTTACCGAATTAATTGATATGGGCAGTCATTTGTGGTCCTCTTGTTCTTAGAATGCCCGAGTGGTCAATAGTAATTACTTTCCTTCAAGTCTGATGTTAGCAGTTTGTGTCTTCTCTCATTTTCTTGTTTTTTTGTGTTTTGTTTTGTTTTGTTTTGTTTTTCTTTATTGTTGAAATTATTACAGATGTCTTCTTTGGGTTTTTGTTTTTTCCCCATTGACCCCCCCCTCCCCACACTCACCCCTCCCAAGCCTTCACCACACTATTGTCTGTGTTCTCATTTTCTTGGTTAGCCTAGAGTTTATCAATTATATTTACATATTTAAATTTTCAGTCAAGCTTTTAATGAAAATACAATGAAATAATAGTTTCTCATCACTATACATTAACACTGCACACTTCTGGAGAGATCAGTCATTGGTGAATTGCTTTTCTGTGACACTTGAGGACTGTTTACTTGCAGTTTTGACCTAAATTTGTCTTAACACTCAATTTCTTTGGTCTTTTCAAAGATCAATATAAAAACTTCAGGTGGAATATGGGTATGTCACCACCCTATCCATCCCTTGACCCTCCCTCTGTGAACAGTTGTATTGCACTTGCAGACATCAAAGATGCCATTACATCACATTATACTTTGCTTTCGATCCTTGATAGATTAAGAGAACTCGGGAGCAGAGTGTCCGATATGCTTTCCCATGTGTTGACCATTTATCTATTGTTCTCATTCCTAATGTTCATGTCTTCTTCTGGCTCAGTCCCTTCTGTCTGAAGAACTTTGTTTTAGCAATTAAAAAAATTTTTTTTTATTGATTTTGAAAGCACCCCCACATAGGGACAGCAATTGGAAAAATCAAAAGTTCAATACATCTATTTGTGAGGCAGGATTTTCATGCAGTTTTCTACATACTGGACTGCATTTTCCCTTTTTCAGGGTGAGAAGTCCGTATCGGTGGATGGGAAGTGCAGCGATGCCACACTGCTCAGCAACCTGCTGGAGGAGATGAAGGCTACATTGGCCACGTGCTGACTGTTGTCTCTGAGGCCACCACAGCGAGGGTGTGAAGGAGAGACAGGTTCCAAATGCTAGTTTCTCCTTTGTCGCATGTACTTACCAGCCCGGCGTTACGTCCACTGTCGTCACGGTTAGACATTGAGGTCTCCGTTCACTGATTTCTCCTGTCATCTTTTTTACTTTGACTCTCCCCCCTCTCTTTGGGGAGAAACCCTGTTCCAGTCCTCAAACCATCAGTGACTCCTGTAGCCGGGGTCAACTGCACGTGGCCGCAAGAGCTGTTCAAGGAATGAGTGTGACCACTGTCCAAGCCAGGACTGGGTGGGCCGGGTGATGGGTGTTCAGCGGACAGGTCAGGGAGGCACGTCCTGCTTCTGTGAAGTCATCCAATCCTACTAGTCTCCAAGTCCCCACCTGGGAGGCGAGAAATGGGCTGGCTGCTCACCACAGTGACATTCCCCTTACATCTCACAGCCAGTCAGTTCTCTCACCAGGAAACATGGTGGGGAAATGGTCATGCAAGCCGTTTTCCATTGCTTTGTGTCCCATTGCTGTGTTTGTGTGCCGGGTAGAGAATGGCAATGGATTGCAAGGCATAGGCGAGGGCTGCAATCTGGGTAGGGATTTATTCAGGACCCTTACCAAGAGCAGGGAATGGACATTGTTTTGTTTCCTTTCCAGTAAAATAGGTCTTGGGGTTTGTCCTCCCATCATATCCACAGCTGCTGGGAAGGCCCAGGCCTGGGTTCCATGTCCTGATGGCGAAGCACATGTGTCCTGGGGAGGTCAGGTCCCTTAATGCGACTCATGGGCAGGGCAAGGGGACTCTGGCCCACCCCGGTGAGACTTTCCTCAGAGATGATGATCCTCGATGATGTTTTAACTATCCTTTTGATGAAAACTGTCACTTTAGCATGTAATCTATTGCAGAATCCTGTGCAGTGATTCTAGAACCTCGAAATTGTATGATGTGTTATATAAGAATTTGCTATCAACATTCCCATGTAAAGGAGACATATCACGCTGCTGTCATGATTTTGTGTCAAGATGATCCAATAAACTTGCAAAATAGGCATTTACCTGTTGGCGGAGGTCACCTGGTGGCAGGGGAGTTGCGGGGGTCTGTGAACATCCCTGAGTGTCTCAGAGTCAGAAGGGGCTGTGGGACACCCTTATCCTCTTAGGAGTTGACATGATGCCCATGTGCCATCCAGGTCCCTGGACTGGAAGTAATAGGGTCCAACACAACACACCACTGGACTATCCTAATACCACCTGAGCCTTTCTCATGCTGTTTTGTTTAAATCCTACACAGGTGAAAATGTGGCTATCATTCTGTCACATTCAGTAGGAAGCCGTGCAGGGTGTGTGGGGTCCTCAAGAGTCCGGTGACTTAACCCCCACTTTCCCCTTCCAGACACAAGAACGAGAGGGAGCTGGAGGAGGAAGTCAGGGAAGCAGCACCCAGGCCACAAAGGAGTGCCTGCTCAGGACAGACAGGAAAGGTGCCTCACCATCTGCAACAGCTGTACTGCCTGGATCAGTCCATGTGGAGTGTTTACAGAAGCAGTGCTGTAGGGTTCCTTGGACAGGTTCAGTCCCACATGACCTGATGACCTGAGCCCCATGATACACTGAAGCCAACCCTGTTTCACTAGACTGCAGTCTCACTTGAATCATCAGAGCCATCTCGCTCCCAGGCTCCTTTCCAGGTGAGCCCGCCCACGTACACTCTGGCAAGTCACAGTCAAATTGGTGTGACCCTGTGTCCATGACGAGGTGTGTCTTGCCCAGGGACCCAGCCCAAGCCTCACATGGTTTCTCCCTGCCCCTACAGGGACTGCTCCATGATGAGAAGTGTCAGGGACATTTAATCCATCATATAGTTCTGATCCCATCTAGCATCTGCTGAATACAATCCATCCCCTTCCCCCTCCTCCCAGCCCTGGCCCTGCCTGGACTCATGGGATTGTGCAGCCCCTCCACCCCCCACCCCAGAGAGCAGCAAGCTTGCTCCAGAGTTGGGCTGGGACAGCCCAGCTGAGCCCTGGCCCCACATTGCAGCTGGGGTGGGTCCAGTGGGCCCACAGGCTATCTGTGCTGTGTCAAGCACTCAAGCATTTTCCAGTGTCAGGCTAATGAGATGTGGGGGCTCTAGACCCATGAAGCTTGGTGATACCAGGCTGCAGAGAGAAACAGGTGCCTCAGTACTTCCTTTCCCATCCCCACCTCAACCTAACTGGTACGTAGGTGTTTTGCTAGGGGCCTGGGCCTCCTCCCATCTAGGGCATGCGGCAGGGTTGCAGACAGATCCTCAAAATTTTGTCTCCACCCAGCTCCCACCAGGCCAGGACTCACCTTGTGCTGGTGCCCTGTCTGAAAGACACGACTGGGCCCTGGTTAGCCCCATGACCCCCAGGTCCCTCCACTGGGGTACATCCATCATGGGAGCAGGGCTTCCTCCTAGGTTCTAACCACAACCCTGCTGCTACCCATTTGGGGCAGGGGCAACACCAGACTGTGGGAAGGAACCCTTTAACCAAGATGATCTGGGGCCCTGAGCACAGGGTTCAGGTCCTGCCTCCCGGTGGCTGCCCTCGCACATAGCCTACTGACTGATAAAACAACTCTCATTAAGGGAGGAAGCTCTGCACAGCTGTGTTCGCTGCACTGACAACTGTGGGGACACAGGTGTGAAGCCAATGTGGCCCTGAGTTCAGAGGGGCAGTTGTGCCCACCAGGCGTCTTCAAACTACGGCCCGCGGGCCACATGCGGCCCGCAGAGGAGTCTGATCCGGCCCGCCAGGTTTTTTGGGCAGTGAGCGCAGCCGAGGTGTTACAGTAGGAATTAGTAGTTCATATAGTACGGCCCTCCAGCTCTCTGAGGGACCGTGATCTGGCCCCCACTTTAAAAAGTTTGAGGACCCCTGGCCTAGACAGAGGCTCACTCACCGCAATGAAGCTGACACTGCAGCCTGTGCAGGGACAAGAGCATGGAGAGCACCTTTTTAGCAGGCAGGCCCTGCCTGTCCCTGACTCCAGCACACCTTCTCAGGCCTGCCCAAGGCTTAGGGTTTGTCCATCAGTCACCTGGGTGGCTCCTAGCCAGGAATGGAGTGACCACTGGACAGGGTGGCAGCAATACTCACCAGAGCCTCTGGGGGCCAGTTGAGGAAGATTTCAGGGAGGAAGAGGGGTTTATCTCTCAAGGGGCCCTGCTGGCGCCCGCAGAATGAAAGGGTTCTTCTCAGGGAGCTCCCTGCTTCCGGATTTCCGTCTGGTGCTGGCCGCAGGCTCTGAGTTACAATGCCTGGATGCACTGACACCCTATCCACATAACAGCCCCAGCTAGCGCCCTAGCCACGGGGCTCCCAGCCTCTGAGGGGAGTAAAATACTCCTATGGCCATGGGAAGCACGCCCCTCCCTCAGCCCTCACTAGCTCACTTTCAGTGGCATTCTGGATGAGGTGCACCTGCTCCCAGAAGATGGCTGGGAGTTCCTTGGGGAAATACCTTGGCAGGGGGAGGGAAGTCAGGTTACAACGGCGGGCAGGGTGTCCTGGGGCATCCCCTTATCCGGGAAATAACATATTCCCCTGGGACAGCTGTTCCATCTTCTGGTACCCGGTGTTTGCCATCTGGTTCAGCTCTTCCCGGGCTAGGCACTGAAGGAGGGGCCCGATGAGCGGCCCGGGCCAGGAACGCACTGATCGCGGGGATGGCCACGTGCAGCGCCTTCATTACGTTCTGGCTCGTCAGTCAGCAGCCACCCGACGCGAGAATGCCGTCCACCTACCAGAACTTGAGGTTCATGTGATGGCGGGTGAAGAAGTTGCCATGACAGTGCAGCAGCCGCGGGCCAGCCGGCCTTCAGTCCCAGTCCCAGCGGCAGGGCCGTGGCTATGGCCATCCATGCTCACCACCAACTGACCAACCGCACCCCCGCGCCACGCCTCTCCACCGCGCACCAACCCGCGGCGCCCTCGGCCCCGCGACCGAGAACTGGAGACGCGGCTCAGCCTCCCAGGCCTCGCCCCTGAGCCCCCGCTCCCCGAAGGCTCCTCTGGCCCGATCGGCCCCGCCGTGGGACCGGACCATGTGAGCGCACACAATCGGCGCTAGCTTCTCGCTCCAGGACCTGCCCTGCTCCAGGCCCCGATCCGCATTCCCAGCGCAGCGGAAGCTCCGCCCACAGGCCTCAACACTCACCAATGGCATCGCGGCTTCGGTTGCCAGGCAACATAGAGCGCGAGGTCGGGATGCGCCCCCGCCCGGTGGATACCTCGGCCCACCGGCTCCGCTTCCGGGGAGGCCTCAGTCTGCAGCGGAAGTGGGCCCGGCCGGGCGGGGCCGGGCAGGCTCTGCGCGGAGTTCCTCCTCGGCGGGAGGCGAGGTCCGAACCAGCGGGCGGCCGGGGACGGGAGGCCGAGGACGGAGGCCAGCGCAGCCCGCAGGTCGGCGTGAGGCGGCAGGTGAGTCCTCGGAGGGGGAGCGCGGGCGGCGGACCCCCGAAGACCCCCAAGCGGCGGGGGAACGCGGGCGGCGGGAGTTCGGGTCCCTCCGGAGGGGCCGGCGCGGGCGGCGGGAAGGGAGTAGTCGCGGTTCCTCGGTCGGATTCGGGGCTACAACTGTCAGTGTGGGGTCAATCCGTGTCACTTGCTATGGCGAGGTCCCCGCCGCTGGTTTGGGTCGGTTCCGCAGGATTTCAGGGCTCCTGAACCTCGGGGAGTGGGCTTCTTGGGAGCGAGCTTCTCGCTTCCTGGTCCCGGGTCCCTGAGCGCCGGGCAGGGGCCGGGCGCGAGGCGTGGGCGGTGGCCGCACTGCCCGTCGCGGGGACCTGGGCTTCGCAGCCCCGGCTCTGCACTGGCCGGTGGGCTGGCATGTGTTGGGAACAACCACGTATTTTATGAGATGTCACTGAGAGGGGAAGAGGGGCGTGGTTGGAAAATACAGAAAAATCACAAAGCAGAAAATGAAGCATGGGTGACCTACCACCCAGAGAGCCAGGGTCAATTTCAGGGTAAGATTCTTGTGGTCATTTGAGGTTTAATGGGTATACGATGCGCTGCACACATAGAAAGCACGAAGGTAGATGCTGAGTATGATGTACGTGCATATTTCACAGCCCAAGGCCTGTCTGCACGATCCGGTTTTGGACATGCGGGTGTTACACGTGGCCTCTGGGCAGCTGCTTTCTCATCCTTCCCTCACCCAATGTGAAGGGGGTGCTTATAAGCCCATTTTACAGACTCAGGGCTGAGGGATGCCACTGGGCTGCAGGCTCCAAAGCCCTGAGCCCCTGTTCTCTGCTCTTTGACATCTTAAAAAATGAGTGACCGCCCTAGCTGGTTTGGCTCAGTGGATAGAGCATCGGCCTGCGGACTGAAGGATCCCGGGTTTGATTCCAGTCAAGGGCACATGCCTAGGTTGTGGGCTCAATCCCCAGTGGGGGACTTGCAGGAGGCAGGTGATCAATGATTCTCTCTCATCATGGATGTTTCTATCTCTCCCTCTCCCTTCTTCTCTGAGATTAATTTAAAAAAAAATTTTTTTTAAATGAGTGACCTTTTTCCCTCCTGTTAATCCTCATCTGAGGATATTTTTCCCATTGATTTTTAGAGAGAGTGGAAGAGAGGAAGAGAGAAAGAGAGAGATAGAAACATCGATGTGAGAGAGACACAGCAAGTGCAAGTCCTGGCTGCCCTTGCCCCAGGGCCCCCTGCTTCCCTCTTCCCTCTTCCCTCCCAAAAGGTACCCTTTGTGTCTTCACCCCAGATCCTGCTCCGATAACTGTTTTTCCTCCCTGGGCCAAATCGACACCCAGCTTAGCACCTGTCCCATTGCTCCTTTCTTCTGACAATTGGATTTTCCTCTCCTTAAAAACCCTCTGGAGCCCTGGCCAATGTGTTCAATGGTTAGAGCATCAGCTGGGAACCGAAGGGTGGAAGGTTCAATTTTCAGTTAAGGGCACATACCTGGGTTACTGGTTCGAACCCCAGGTTGATCAGGGCATGTGGGGGAGAAGGTAATGGATGTTTCTCTCTCTCTCTCTCTCTCTCTCTCTCCCCGACTTTCTCCAAAAATCAATGGAAAAAATATCCTAGGGTCATAATTAACAAAAACGCCCTCTGGAGCTGATCTGTCCAGGGCAGCAGCCACTGGCCATGGGCAGCTAGTGAGCCCTCCAAACATGGCTGTATTAAACTAGGACCTGCTATATGTGCAAAATGACCACCAGGTCACAGGGGCTCCTATGTTTTTAAACGGCAGAATATCTCCTTAATAGATATTTTCTATATTCCTTTGGTGTTGAAATGATACTATGTTACCCTTGTGTTAAATAGAATACGTATATTATGACTAATGGTTTTACCTTTTTCTTTTCATTTTCTTTTCAATGTAGCTACTAAAATTTTTATATTAACCATGGGTGTGTATTATATTTCTGGTGCCTTCCATGGTGATTATTCTTTCTGCAAATATATGTTCAACTCTGGCCTTCCTAGACTTTGTGGTTTTTTGCTTCCTGTTTGTGGTTAGTAACTTCTTCACAGGGGTGAACTACTTAAAGGACTTAGCCAAATGCTAGGTGTTTTTTAATTGGTGGATTAGTGTTAGCTATAATTTTTCTAATAGTTTTATTTAGTTAGTTAGTTAATCCTCACCCAAGGATTTTTTTCCATTGATTTTTTTTTTTAAGAGAGAGTGGAAGGAAGGGGGAGAGACAAAGAGAAACATCAATATGAGAGAGACACATTGATTGGTTGCCTCCCACCCCAACTGGGGCCAGGGATGGAGCCTGCAAACCGAGGTACCTGCCCGTGATCAGAATCGAACGGGAGACCCCGAGGACTGGCGCTCTAACCACTGAGCCACACCGGCTAAGGCTTAGTAGACTTTTAGAGCAGTTTTGGCCTCATGGCATAACTGAGCAGAAGGCACAGAGATTTCCCATTCCCTGTACCCTCACACAGGCACAGCCTCTCACTGTCAACCTTCCTGCCCAGAGAAGGTGTTTGTTACAGAACCTACACCAACACCACTGTTACTCCACGTCCATGGTGACAGAAGTTCACTCTGTGTGGTACGTTCTTTGGTTGGGACAAATGTATAGTGACATGTGTCCACCATGACAGTGTCAGAGTATGGCACTGCCTTAAAAATCCTCTATGTCCCCCCCCCATTCATCCCGCCCTCCCTCAACCCCTGGCCCCCACTAGACCTTTTAATGTCTGTGTAGTTCTGCCTTTTCCAGAATGTCCTAGAGTTGGAATCGCAATGTCACCTTCTCAGACTGTATTCTTTCTCTTAGTCATGTGCATTTGCAGTTCCTCACGTCTTTCATGGTGATAGTTTCTTTTTGTTGGAACCTCCCTAAAGGAGAGAAGAACGTGTCTTTATCATCTTTGCATCTCCTACAAAGCAAAGCTCAAAGTTCTCCTCGTCCCAGGCATCTCAAGTTACTGTGATCATCTGACGTATAAGTGTTCTCTCCCCCACCCCCTCTCTCTTTCTCTCTCTCAGCAAAAGCTGTGTTTTAGGCCCCAGGGGATTCCTGAACTTTTAGACATTTCACATTCTGACAAGTTTCAGCCAGGCTGTTGCTTCTGTGGGAATGCTCCTGCTCCGAGGCTGAGCTCTTACGTTCAAGGAAAAGCCAGCCATTAATTATCTTTTGAGAGTTGTTCTCGCATCCCCAAAGCCTCATAAAATGGAGGTTTAACAAAATCCCCAGCAGCGCTAGGAAGCTGGGTTTTCACTCTGGGAAGTTCCGGACGTGCCCCAGCTGGTGAGCTGTTTCTGATTTCCTGGAATTACGAAGTTCAGACAGTTAAAGCAGAAAAGGGGAATCTGGCTTCAGAAACTGGATTCTGGGAAAGGCAAGGTCACTCCTGCGGCCGAGTCCCAAGTTAGACATTCGAGGTGGGCACTCTGCGCGGGGCCGTCCTGGGCACTGCAGGGTGCTGAGCAACACCCCTGGTCCCTACCCACTCACGGCCAGGAGCACCCACAGTGTGACTAACATAGATGTCCCCAGACATTTCCTGGGGTCCCCTGAGGGCAGGACCACCCTGGGTGAGACCACAGCTAGCTGACTTGCTGGGAGCTCTTTACAGACACCTCTCCCCCTCCCCACTCCTCCCCCTCCCGGAGAGAGAGTGAAACCCTTGAGGGGATGGGCCTGGCCCTCAGTGGACAGCTCAGAGCTGTGACTCCTTCCCTCCATAGCCCCCTTTCTCTGGGGTCAGTGCACAGTCAAGTCCATATCTGGGGATCCCGCTGTGAAAATGAAGTGAGGTCAACAATAAAGAATTATTTTAAAAGGGTGGGGGGGAGGGGGTTGTGTGAGCAGCCAGTGATGGGCATAAGTGTGGATGGGCGTCAGGGGACCTGTTTCCCATGTCCTGCCCTCCCTGACATGCCTCTGGTCGGTGACGGTACATCGAAAGAGGTGTGGCTCCTAGGTGGACACATCAATGACCCCTGACCTTTCTCCCCTTCCTCTCTGTCCCCCAGGTGACATGGTTTTGTCAAACAATATATCTGTATTTGCCCCATGGGAAACGGAAGCAGAGAGAGCTGGTCCATGCACACACCACACCCCTCTCTGTCTTTTTATTTATTTATTTATTTATTTATTTATTCATATTTATTCATTTATTCCTGTTTAATTCTTCTATAAGCCCTCTGTGTCTTGATGGAAAGGCTGGGATGTAGGGACACCCACCTCCGTGCGCTGTGAGTTATTAGCTCTCGGCCCTGGGAGGGGTCCCTTCTGCCTCTTCCAGCTGCTCTGGGCTTGTGTCACCTGTGTCTGCCTCTGTCGTCACATGACCATCGTCTCTGTGTGTCTGTGTCCAAATCTCCCTCTTCTTATAAGAACATGTCTCCTTGCATTAGGGTCACTCTGCTCTAGTGTGACCTCACCTTAACCGATTACACCTGCAAGACCCCATTTCCAAACAAGGTTTCGTTCGTAGTCACCAGGGATCAGGATTTGAACATGTCTTTTGGGGGGACATGATTCAATTCTTAATGGAGTGGGAGTGACTGCTGATGGGCACAGTGTCTTTTGGGGGGTGGGAATGTTATGGAATTGGGGATGGTTGCATGCTCTGTGAGTTTACTAAAACCATACATTAACTTGTATACTTTAAAAGATTGGAATTGGCCCTAGCTGGTTTGGCGCAGTGGTTGAAGGGTCCTGGGTTCGATTCCAGTCAAGGGCATATGCCTGTGTGTGGGCTCGATCCCCATTGTGGGGCATGCAGGAGGCAGCCGATCAATGATTCTCTCTCATCATTGATGTTTCTATCTCTCTCTCCCTCTTCCTTCCTCTGAAATCAATAGGAAAATATTAAAAATAAGTAAATAAAGGGTCTGAGTCACGAATAAAAATAAAAGGGGGGAATTTACGGGATGTGAATTATATCTCAATGGGACTGGAATCTACAGAACCATTCAACAGCAC